CCCTTTGGCTACAATTTAAATAACCTTATTTTAAAAACTATTTTTGCTAAGTGGAAGCAACCCAAATGTCCATCAACAGAAGAATGAATAAAGAATGTATAAATGTATGTATGATACACACATAAAATAATGTTACACAGCCTTAACAAAGAAGGAAAACCTGTCCCATGCTATAACATGGATAAATCTGGAGGACATTATTATGCTAAGTGAAATAATCCAGTCACAAAAGAAAAAAATGTAATTCTTCTCATATGAAGTATCTGAAGTAGTCAAAAACATAAAAACAGAAAGTAGGAAAATGGTTGCTGAGGGCTAGGGGGATGAGAGAGGAAATTAGTCCTTAATGCTTATAAAATTTTATTTTGCAAGATGAGTAAGTTCCATATGCATACAATGTGAATTTGCTTAACATTAATGAATTGTACATATTTATTTATTTATTTTTAGAGACAGAGTCTCACTTTATTGCTCTCAGTAGAGTGCTGTGCTGTCACAGCTCACAGCAACCTCCAACTCTTGGGCTTAAGCAATTCCCTTGCCTCAGCCTCCCAAGTAGCTGGGACTACAGGCACCCACCCCAACGCCTGGCTATTCTTTTGTTGCAGTTTGACTGGGGCTGGATTCGAACCCACCACCCTCTGTATATGGGGCCGGCACCCTACCCACTGAGCTATATAGACACAGCCCACATTTTAATTATTTTTATTTATTTATTCTTTTTTTTTTTTTTTGCAGTGTTTGGCTAGGGCTGGGTTTGAACCCACCACCTCTGGCATACGGGGCCAGTACTCTACTCCTTTGAGCCACAGATGCTGCCCAGTTACTTTAATTTTTATTTATTTATGTATTTAGTTTTGAGACAGAGTCTCATTATGCTGCCCACAGTAGAGTACCATGAAGTCACAGCTCACAGTAACCTCAAACTCTCTTGAGTTTAAAAGATTCTCTTGCCTCAGCCTCCCAATACATGTCCCTGCCACAATGCCTGGCTACTTTTTGTTGCAGTTGTCATAGTTGTTTTAGCTGGCCTAGGCCAGATTTGAACCAGTAGCCTCGGTGTATGTGGCCGGTGCCATAACCACTCTGCAATGGGCACAGAGCTAAATCATACATTTTTAAAAGGTTAAGATGCTAGTACTCTGGGAGGCTGAGAAGGGAGGATTCCTTGAGCTTAGGAGTTCAAGACCATCTGAGCAAGAGCAAGACCCTGTCTCTATTAAAAAATAGAAAAATAAAAAACCTATAGTCCCAGTCACTTGGGAGGCTGAAGCAGGGATCACTTCAACTCAAGAGTGTGAGGGTACTGTGAACTAGGTGATGCCATAGCACTCTAGCCTGGGGCAAAAGAGTGAGATTCTGTCTCAAAAAAAATAAATAAAATAAAATAAAATGGTAAATGCTATGCTATGTGTTTTATACCACAATAAGAAATTATTTTTCTCTAACTTCTATAACTTTTCACTTCAAAGCAAGCTGCTACATTAACACTACAACAAAAATAATGTCAGTGGCTTGGCGCCTGTGGCTCAAGTGGCTAAGGCACCAGGAGCTGGAAGTTGCTGTGAGCTGTGATGCCACGGCATTCTATCCAGGGGGACAGCTTGAGGCTCTGCCTCAAAAAATAATAATAATAATAATAATAATGTCAGTGATAACATGCTGAACATTTTAGAAAAACTTGAAATAGAAAAAAAGAAAATCATTAAGTCTATAGTGTTACCCTTTCCTGAAAAGGAGGTGAAAAACGGGATGAATGGGTGGGGAAAGGAGAATGTTTCTATTTAGACAAATGCCAACTAATAAAAATAGAACTGACGGGGGGGGGGGAGGCAGGGCCTATGGCTCAAAAGGTAGGGCAATGGTCCCATATGCCAGAGGTGGCAGGTTCAAACCCAGCCCTGGCCAAAAAAAAAAGAACGGACAGAGCTAGTAACCTCCTTTCCAATAACTGAATATACCACGGATCATGAATGGATCATTAAAATCCTAGATGAGGGCAGTGCCTATGGCTCAGTGGGTAGGGCGCCGGCCCCATATACCGAGGGTGGTTGGTTCAAACCTGGCCCTGGCCAAACTGCAACAAAAAAATAGCTGGGCATTGAGGCGGGCACCTGTAGTACCAGCAACTTGGGAGGCTGAGGCAAGAGAATCACCTAAGCCCAAGAGCTAGAGGTTATTGTGAGCTATGATGCCACAGTACCCTACCGAGGGTGACAAAGTGAGACTCTGTCTCTACAAAAATAAAATAAAATGAAATAAATTAAAGCAGGCTCAGTGCCCATAGCACAGTGGTTATAGTGCCAGTTACATATACTGAGGGTGGAGGGTTCAAACCCAGCCCAGGCCAGCTAAACAACTGCAACAAAAAAATAGCCAGGCATTGTGGCAGACACCTGTAGTCCCAGCCACTTGGGCGGCTAAGGCAAGAGAATTGCTTAAGACCAAGAGTTGGAGGTTGCTGTGAGTTGTGATGCCACGGCACTCTACCGAGGGTGACATAGTAAGACTCTGTCTCAAAAAAAAAAAAAAGAAATTAAATAGCCAAAGTTTTAACAACGGGTGAATTTAGGTAAAGGGTATATAGGGTTCCAATGTGCTAATTCATTCAACTTTTGTTAGGCTAAAAGTTGTCCAAAATAAAAAGTTGAGGAAGAAAATTCTTTAAATATGTATTAAGCTGAACAAACAAAACCTCACCAAAAATTCTTATAGAATATACTTGTTAAGTGTTTCTTATTCCTTTGTCCTCTTCCTTATAATATCTTTGTTCAAATTACAAACACAGTAGAACCTCCATAGTTGACCACATCCCTACATTGATCACCTCCTTAAGTTGACCTAATTTTCAGGCTAGGCAAGGTGGCTCGTGCCTGTAATCCCAGCACTCTAGGAGGCAGTGATGGGTGAATTGTTTTGAGTTCAGGAGTTCAAGACCAGCCTGAGCAAGACCAAGATCCTGTCTCTAAAAATAGCCAGGTGTTGTAGCAGGTGCCTGTAGTCCCAGCTACTTGAGAGAGTGAAGCAAGAGAATCACTTGAGCCCAAGAGTTTGAGGTTGCTGTGAGCTGTGATGCCACAGCTCTCTACTGAGACAACAAAGTAAGCCTGTCTCAGACAAAAAAAAAAAAAAGTTAACCTGATCTTCATAGACTGGACATGTACCACATGCATATATCACTACAGTAGGCCTAGGCCTTTTTCCTTATGTTGACCTCCTCTGTATGTTGACAAATTGTCACAGTTCCTTGGACGGTCAACTTACAGAGGTGTTAGTGATATTTAAACAGTTTTTACCCTGTGAAAAGGAATTTTGAATGAGGACTCTAAACTTAGATAGTCATAGTAAATTAATGTTAAACTATTTATGGCAATAACTGTAAGAAAAGTAAACTATAAGGAAAATTTTTAAGATAAACAATTGAAGTAGAATTAGAATTGGACAGTCAAAATTATTGACAATACAAGAGTGGAGATCTT